ATACATACAGCCGTATACGTATTTTTCCCGGATCAGAGGCTTGTCGGAGCTCGCCGGCGCTTAAACCCGAGACCTTAAACTTTTTTTCTACGTTCTATCTGAAAACCCTAAAAGGCCCTTTTCTCCTTCGACCCTTTTTTTATTTTTTGTTTTACTTTTTTGGCCCTCAGATCTTTCAACCTGCTGCAAACGGAGACTCTGGAAAGTTGTTATCTTGTGGTGGCTTGTTGTCGTCTTCGTCTCGACTGTAAAAGAGCCATTTTTCTTCTGTTGGTGAGTTTTTTCATAGGCTGCGTGTGTGAATATCTTTTGGGTTTTAGATAAAGTAAGAGCTTATTAGACTTTTGGTGTATTTTTCAGAGGTCACGCGAGTGAACCTTCTTAGATAAGCTGTTTAGTTTTGTGGGGAAAATGTTTGCATGCAATGTTGGGCCTGGAGCTTTTCACTCATTGCCCCAGTTGAGTTTTATGAGCTGGAATGAGTACGCAAAGATGCTTGACTTGTATTGCCATTAAGGTGTGTAGTGCCCTGCCTGTGTTATGTGTTTCGTGTTGGGAGTAATTTATATGGCTTATTTTGGCAGAATCCAGTATGTACTTGAATTATTTTTCAGGAGAAAGACGATTCACCTCTTATTGTTCTGTTGCATTTTGCTTACAAGTCTGGAAAATGTTAAAGCTGGGTTCTTGCATTTCCATTTTTTCAGTTCTGGACTAGCTTCCGTTTCTAATTTAAGGATGTTCTTTTCCTTTTTATTAATTTTGACGGGCCTGAATATAAACGTGATAGAACAATGTGGTCTTATACGATAAGGTTCGACTGTAAAAATTTGTAAATGCCTGCCGAACGGAATTACATGTGATTATTTGGATCACATGGTTATGTTCTTGCATTTTTTTGGTTTACATTTACATATTGAGTCAACAGAATGAGTAAGAAGGTATCAACGAGGTTAGCATCATTATTTTAGGCAGGTGATTCAATTACTGTCTACATTGCAACTGGTTCTGAATAGCTTTGAGGTGGACCTGTGAGTTGGAACGGAATTTAAATGTAATGAGTTGCTTTGTGCTTGTTAGAGATTGTAAAGTCGTCCATGGGAAGAACCTAAACTGTTATGAAGCTTAGCAAGAATAGTGGATACAATGCTGCAGAGTAGGCCAACATATTCGTGGAACCTATTTCTTTTAAGGAATATTTTTTTTATTTATTTTTTTAATAATTTGATTGTCCCATTGCCTGGCCTTGGGCTTGCCCATCCAGATTACTGGAGGATAACATTCACACCTGCTCTGCAGCAATTGCGAATTGCAAAGTACCACCCAGAAAAGTACTATTTGTCGTTATGCTTGATAGATTTTCTTATGGAGGATAAGTTTGCAGAATTCCTGGTTGATCGCCTGACAGTACTTTAGGTATTAGCAATTGTGTGTAATGTGAAATCAAAATCATGATAAGAATGACTAGTTAAATTGTTTGGCTTTTGAGAATGTTGCAATGGTCGATGTCATATGAGTAATGCTGTTAAATTAAACGAGCCTGGCTCGAGTTCGAGGCCATAACGAGCCGAGATCGAGCTCATTTAAAGCTCGTTTAGTTGACAGCTCGACTCGATAAGGCTCGAAAAGAGAATTTTAATATAATTTTTTATAGTTCGTCTCGTTAAAACTCGAGATCGGTGATTTTTGGCTCGTTTATTAAACGAGCCGAGCTCGGCTCGTTAAAAGCTCGAGCTCGAGCTTGGCTCGGCTTGTTTACAGCCCTACATATGAGTGGTGCTTCAATTGCTAATCAATATGAGTTTAAATTACTCTTCTTCTCTATTTACATGGTCAAAATTAAATGCCCTCTTGAATATGACATACTTCATGGCTTTCTGTATAAATAACTGCTGAAGATAAAAGTTGTGGTGATTTTTTTGTTTTTACTACAAGAAACTTTTCCCTCCAACTTTGGGAGCGATCCACAAAAGTTTCAAAGAATTGTTTATTCTAGTTTACCTCTTTTTGTGGGACTATGATTGTTGC